TTGACTGTGATTTATGAGATCAGTCAGCTCTAACTATGCGTCCCACAATTCAAAAATCACGATGCCAACCCCAGCAGTGCCTCACCTTCAGGGGGCCTCATTGTCTTGTCGTGCTGCCAGCTCCAACCCAAAGGGTGGAGGTCTGCCGTCATGATGTCACACCAGAAGTCTGCACGGCGGTCATCCTGGTATCCCTCGTAACGTAAAAGCAGCAGCTGTCCACATGTGGTGATGATGTTTGCCACCCAGTAAGGGCTGTCAGCCTCAGAGCGCAGACATACCTCCAGCTTCATGCCTGGAGTCAGCCCTGTCTGCAGGCCCTGGTCCACCTGAGGGGAGAACGGAAAACAGGAGATCAAATCAACATAAGAGAAAAGACTTTTATTCTATTGGTTTTCATCCTAAATAAATCTACCTACCAGCTTTTAAGCTTAAGTAACATGGGTTAAAACACTAGTTTTATGAGAGAACACAAGGACTCTCCAATTGTTTGCTACAAGTAACATATCCAGAGAACACAGGGTTGGGTTAGGTTTCTTTAAAATGAGCACAAAGCACATGGAAATATTTAGTCATATAATCCACTGGATTGCAAAGAACATGTGGTCAGATTTCTTTGGATTACTTCAAAACCTGACCCACAGTTTTCCTCAACATCTCCAAACCTTTTCAATGCATTTTTGCATATTACAGCTGGTCAAATCAAAACGACCTCAGAAAAAAGGCGCTGCAGTATGGACTGCCCGTATGTGAGGCACATGTTTGTAATTAGTTAATAGAATTAACAAGAGTTACTATGAAAAATGGTTTAATTTTCACTCAAATTTATTTGCTTTGGTTATCTGACAACAGAATAACTTAAGTTGCGCCTATACAGGAAGTAACTTGTAACAATGTAACAGCTAGAGCCAACTTTACACTAGTGGGGAAAGAAAAAAAAATGGTGACAGTGGTGACTCTGTTGTTACTACAAAAAGAACATTCAGACATGGTGCTGACTGCTTGTTTTCCTCATTCTATGCCATCTAGCACATTAATGAAAACACCATATGGGCATGCTAATAAGTTTAAAAACTTCAATTTAAATTTTAATATGAAGTTTGACCCCACCAGTCTCTCTGAAGACTTTACACAGAAGCTATGTAATTCATCATAAATAGCTAGCACAAGCTTATCCAGAAATGTGTGTAAGCTGTCAAGGTTGTCGACACCCACATGTTTGAAGCTGTGATGGGGCACAGCCACGGCTTCAGTCTCCTCCAGGTAATCATCCCAGTTAAAATCAGGAGCATCCTGAGCAGAGTCTCCATCTGGAATGCAAACGCATTTTTCTTCATGAACCTGCTTTCCAGCATTTTGTCCTACACAGGAATGCACAAATATCCACGGGTCACTTGCAGTTTTATATATATTTTTGGTTTTTTCATATTTATTTTGAGCACAGTCCTTGTAGCTAACCATTTCTTGTAGGAATGTTTTTTGTTGTTTATTGAGTCACTTAACAGCAAGCATTAAATATAACAACTGGAACTCAAGGGATGAAGTAGTGCTGTGTCTACGTACTAGCAAGGAACCAATTTAAATGGGGCCTTTGTTACTAGTAGCCTGTTGCAAAAATGCATACAGGAAAGGAGGTCCAACAGTGAATGTCTGCATCCATCTGTAAAACATGATGGAGGTTCTGTCATAGTGTGGGACTGCATTTCAACCACTGGTGTTGGGCAACTATCAAAATTGTTGAAAAACCTTTTACTGGCAAAAGTTTCATTTTTCAGCAATGACAAAGATCCCAAACACACTGCCAGTGCAGTAAACTGGATAGCACCTGGGCAGAAAAACCATATCAGTCATGGATTGGCCCGGACCTCAGCGTGGGATCATCATGAAAGATTAAACGTCAGCCAACATCCAAAGAGCTTTGAATCCCCTTCAAGAAGCACAGTCATTAAAGCTTTTGTATTTTCTAACTAGTTTCTGTTTCTATTTCGTTTTGACTTTCTGTTTTCAATTCAGTTCAAGTACGTTTCCAGAGTGGGCTTGGTTGTGTCACTTAGTTTTTATTGCTGGAAAATTATCGGTTTGCTGTTTCATTTTCATTAGTTTCAGTGTTTTGATGTATTATGTATGGAAGGCACATGTCAGGCATAAGTAAAATCAAAAAATAATACAGAACTTTTTAAAAGCAATTGACTCGCAGACAAGTCTCAATAAACATTTCCATGACAAATATTGCCTACTGACAAAGACTAAAACTAAGGATATTTCTATATTTGAATTTGAATTTAGTTTGTTTTCCAAATTCACACAATTGGTTCGGTTAATTTTCTGTTCTACAAATGTCCATTTTTTTTAGTTAATTAAAATGTGCCCCTTTTCCACCTCTAATATTTCCTCATATACTATATTTACATTAATTTTTGTTCATGTTTAAATGAATCACTGCATCTATTAACACTTATCTAGCTCAATATAAAGCAATGAGGGGTCACTCCAGACTTTTGTGTAGCCAAACTGTTATTTTAAATTTCAATGATGGTTTTGAATTTCATAATCAAAACCTCCCTAAACTTTTTGCCTTTCACACATTTGTTCACAGAATTGTTCTTACCAGACACCAGTGTCTCCTGGCTCATGCTGGTGCCCTCGCGGCTAACTAGGACTCCAAAACTCTGGCAGAAGAGAGAAGGAAACACAGAAATGAAAACAGTGCACTCATCCAGGCTCCTAATAGTCATCTGTGGCACACCACTATTATGCCTATACCTTTATTTTAACACCATCCATATTATTATAATATATAAACATCGGTATCAGTTAACAGCATGTAAGCCACTCGCCATAGAGAATAGAAAGCATCACAATGGCAGGCAGAGTAACCTGCATTACTGGGTCAAACAGCAGACATAAGACAAAGAAAATTCAACAGCATTAATTTGCAAACTGTGCTTCAAAACAAAAAAAATGAATTTGCATTCGTTTGAATCCCTGAGCCATTCGAAAATCAAGGACTGCTGCCTCTTGATAATAAGGCTGCCAGTGTCTTTAGAGAAGATCTAACATTAATATTCAAAGTGCTTCTATCTGGTCCCGGACTTACCATCTAAGTAACGCACCAGATGGTACGATAGCTGGAAAATATATGTAGCTATGCTAATCTCATCCAACCTCACCTCTCTACTTGTGAAACTCATTTGGGTTCTTCTTTTTAAAACCACAGTCATATGCCTTTTCCTGCCCAATGTGAAAACACAAACGCATGAATGCGGACTCGCACGTCAATCTCGGACACATGAAACCCAACCCAGGGCATTGTGAGAGCCAGATGAAATAAGTTAATACAACAAGAGAAGTGGCATGAATGAGAAAGAGCGGAGCGCTGGGCGTGACGATGGTGGAGAGCACGCTGTATGGGATGCTGAGTAGAGCTTGTCTGTCACTGCAGCTCCATTCAAGGCGCCCTGTCAGCCCGTCTTTGTCACATCTGATGTCTCTATTAAAACCAAGGCCGCCATCAGAAGCCACCCCCTCCCGACCGCCGGACTACCACTGCGACCCCCGTGCTCCGCCGGGACCAGTGCCGCCTTTCACCCGCGACCCTGTCCCTTACTCGCTCTGCCTTTATCCCCCTCCCTCCAACACATACACAAACACGCAGCAGAGGACCTCATTGTCCTGGGGGGGCCAGGGGGTTGCACACTCCTTACACCAGAGTGGAAAAAGAGCAGTAGAGATAGGAGCAGAGCTACAGGCCTTTAGTAAAAAAGCTATATTCCAAGGGGTCCTAGGGGCCTCATTCTAAACTGATATCTCTTTTTTTATTCTGTACTTAATTAAAATTGACATTTTGATACAACAGATAAAGAAAAACAGAACCCTAAAAAGGGTCTCACAAACTCAAACAATGATAATGCATTATGTCCATTACCATCCATAATGGCATCACACAAAAGTAGCACCCACTTTATGTAAACAGTCTATTTTTCTCCTTTTCTTGAGAAACCTGCATCTCTAGTGCACCCTTTCCATCACAAAGATTTCTATGTCCATCCAGTGCTTAGGGACTGGAGCCACAGATTTCTTTGTATTTCTTTGTAACCAGAAATAAGCACAATTTTACACAGATCCCAGGCTGTTCTAACAACTACGCTTTCACTTATTACACAGAAACACTGTCAGACCTGTGACTCATTAGACACTTCATATCCAAATATCTTTTAGACCGCTTTATTTTTCCTTTAATTATTGTTATTTTTTTTAAATATCAGAATTTTTGGATTCTGATACTCACAAAGCTAAGGGAATGATTGACATTCTTGTGGCTGCAGCATTTCTGCAATAAAGAAATTACGTTTTTCTCAGTTTCTTCAAGTGATTAATGATGTGTGCTCAACAATGAGTCCTCCTGTGAGGAGTCTGCTGGCGCTTCTTTTCCTCATTTTGCTTAAACACATGAGGTATTTTCCCTTTCTGCTTCTGAACACCCTGTCATAGTTTGAAAGCTGTTTTCTTGATGACTTTTACACCCTTCAGTCAAACAGCGAGTGCAGCGCTCTTCTCAGATCTGTCTTATTTTATTGTTCATATATGAAGCAGTCTGTGTTTTCTAATTGAAATTCTCTCTTCGATTGCTTTATAATTTTCCCTCCAAGCACGCAAGCACAATACCTTGATAATTTTGTTCACACATGGAAGATTTTCAGGTAACATTGACGTTCTGACGACGTGAGTTTGCATCAAAAGTTCCTCATGCTTTCTGGTCCCTTAGAGGAGAAAATTTTTAATAGCACTCGCTCAGAATCCTAACCCTGATTATGCAAATACGTACCACTAATTATACCCTAAAAGCCACAGGAACTATTTTGTTCTAAAACTGTTCAATGTAATGACTTGAAAATTTAAATTTTCAATGTAACCATGTTTTACCACTTACATTTTTTTTCACATTATAGCCATTTTGCTCAAACTGCAGTTAAAAGTCAGCCTGACAGGATTAAAGCTCACCTTGGCTGTTTTCATGGCTTTATTCGCTAGCACCTGAAGACACGATATATTTTAAAGTGTTGTCACATCAATTGCTAAAATATTTTGCAAACTAAGGGCTATGGTTTTTCTAAGAACCGCTACTCTGTACTGTAGTCTGAACAACTTCCCAATTACATTCTTGGCACAACTTGTTTCCTTTAGCCCCTAACGCTGCTGAGATTTGTGAGGTTTCTGTATTGCCTTTCCTATCTTTCCATCTCGTTTGCTAGAAATAGAAGCATCTACATGGAATCTTACTTGAGCTGTGTAAAAATACACCCACAAGCAAGGCAGAGACATCCAAATTCATGTCATTCCCATTCTCTTTTGTGCCTACATGAAAGACCCAAACCTAAATACAGTAATGTCTAGTGGTGATTTTAAAAGCATCATAGGGAATGCAGTGAAGGAGACGTATGGATGTTTTTCTTGAGACCACTAGTTTTAAATTATACTGTATATAATTATGTAGATCTTGTATTTTATGGTACTTGTTGCTTCTTTTTTTTTTTTTGATATTTTGGAGTTTGTATGGCTGCTACCTTGGCCAGATTTGGTCTCAATGGGATTTTCAGATTAAATAAATACATTTGACAAAAATCAAACATAAAATGGAATCATGCTTTCTCGAACAAATAGGAGGACGTCAGCATTTGAGAATCACTATGAGTGGAACATGGATACGTTTCCCATGCAGTTGGTTATTTCACAGGGAATTGTTTGAGTCCATGAGGTGCAGCACTTTTGCTGTGTAACTGCCACAGCAGACAGGAAGAAAAGCAACTTCCCCTGTTTCATATAAAGTAAAGTGGTCTGTGTGGACCAAAGCTCTGCCTCAATCTTTCTACACCCAAGACTCTGACTGAACCTGAAAGAGAAAGAGCCAAATGCACACACACCCACAACTGACATTCACACTACATCCTCTTTACAAGCACTCACCGAATCATACTCTCATCAGCACTTAGCATGCCACTGAGCATTCTCAATAATGCCTTTCAGGGCCTCTGACATCTCGGGGAGGGAAACGCCAACCAACTAAATAAGTCTTTACACATTGTGTGGCTTTTCTAGAACACAATCTGCTTTCGATACAATTAAATTAGTCACTTCCCCAAGCACTATTAAATGCCATCCACCAGTGACTGAAAATGTATTTCTACAGTTAGCAGCCCACACTCTGACCTTCACAAAACCTAAAACGTATCTGTTGCATTTGGTATAAATTTACACCTGTAATGCTATCAAATCTTTCATGGTTTCTTGCAAACCAAACAGAGTTCTGTTGGTGGTGTTCAAAACAATGAAATGTGACAAATAAAAAAATAATAATAATAAAAATACCCAGCAACAAAGCCATCTGGAAACTGTGACAGCCCACCATGCTCTAAATAACCCAATGTGTAAATAGGAGCATTTTATGTGGTAAAAAAAAAATAAACTGTGTACAATGAAATATGAGGTTATGTTAAATGCCAGGAGGTGTTGCAGTAGAATAATTTCACATCACAAACAGAATGATCCTCTATTGAGTCTACAGAGGCAGAACTGTCTGACTGATACCTCTTGGTTCATGACATGAAAGCCACACGGTTTATAGGTCAATAATAATAGCACAATAGGAAAGCAAGAATAGTTTTGGTTTTAGGCGAAACCCCCTTTAAAGGGCTAGCATATAAGGTTGAAACTCTATGTCATTCTTGATAACGCATCTTAAAACGATACCATAAAATTCACAACAGCAGCCTTTTTGGTTGTTCCTCAGACACCACCTCCCATCACCAAACACACACCTCTCACCCTCCGAGGAGATTTAAATAACTTCAGACACCCTGACATCTTCAATGTGGAGGTAATGGTTCTAAACAAAAGCCCAACAAATAAAGTTGGCCTGCTCCCGTAAATCACTGCGACATCCCAGCGAAACCTGCGACAACTTCACATCCAAAGAAGAAGAAAAATAAAGAAGAAGAAAAAGAAGAAGGGGGAGGAGGCTAAAAATGGAAAAGACCAATTTCCTCAATACAGCACGCTTAAATAACACCTATTTCCTTCAGGTGCTCCATTTAGTTTCAGTAAAGGCTGCTCGTTGCACAGTGGCACGTCAAGCCGAGCAAGCACTGCCAGCCAGCGGATCACTCAAGTTGCACAATAGGGAAGTTAAGGGGGCTGATGAATAATAGGGTGCATTAAGTGAACGGTGAATCTGACGGGGAAACGCGGACATTTCGAGCATCATCTCGTTTATCCGCGTTAAAAAGCTGGAGGAATTAAAAAAAGAGAGAGAAAGAGGGATTTGGGGGGGCAGTTAGTTTATGCAGCCTGCTTGGTGGTAACAACACAAATCGGATGAGGTCGTGCAACCTTCATTATGCAAGACTTAAACGGTACAAATATACGGAGTTCCACGGGGGCACATCTGTGGACACTTCCACACGGTCCTTGAACTGTAACTAGCTTAAGATTGCGCCGCTTTTTCCGACTAACCGCAGCATTCAGAGAGGGAGAGAGAGATGGGCCATCAACGCAATGGCTTTGCAGAGAGAGAGAGAGAGACTACAGCGCCAACGGTCTAACTTTCACACTGAGCGGAACATGACACAGACAGCCGGAGAAATGTGCTCAATTTCCGTGTAATAAATTAAAAAACACGAGGGTAAGCGTGTAACGGCCGTGTGGGACTCCTCGGACACATGGTTTAAAACCGCCTGTGTCCGAGTCAAGTTACTGAACGTCACGGCTTGAGCAATAAGAGCAGGCTGACGAGCAATAAGGGCGCTTACACTCGACCGAACCCGACTCATCTTTTTGAGAGACGGGAAAAAAGGCGAATGCGCCACCCCAGCACAAAACATCGCTAGGAATTTGTGCGCAACAACACGTACCAAGTGAATATTTAGTCGCAAAATCGGCCCCTTACCGCTAAGTAGTTTTTCCAAGTCGCTTTTTAGATGCCGTTCCTCTCCGCCTGCTTGCTCTCAGCAGCGTTAGCGTAGCGCGAATAAAAAGCCGAAGCCCCGGTGGGACGTTTCACAATAAAACCGCCTTCACGAGCCACTGCTTTACAGCCGTTGCCCGAGCAACGAGCGGTGCTTTTGCTGTGACGAGGATTAATCCGCAGATACTTCCGGCTTTGTTTCGGCAGCGTGCCGTTAGCTTAACGCAGTTCTCGTTCACGACCTCATTCCAATATGGCACGAGCGGCCACTGCGCATGTTCTGCCGCCTATATGCCTCTGAGCCTGGCTACATCACACTGACTTCCATCTTCACACACACAATAAAAATGACACACAACAGGAGTGAAGACTCAAATCTATAACACAAAAATAAAAGAAAAAAAAAGCTAAATGTTTGCCGTGTTCGTGCAGAAGGGGAGGGCCAGCTTCACCAGCCGTTAAATGGCTTCTTTTATACCCAGCGGAATCAACACTTAGTTAATGGCTGAGCCGGAATTAATTGCACGTATAATCGACACAATTTCGATAAGTGGAATAGGCTTCTTTTTCTGCTACAAAAGAAAAGCAATCCATTCTGTATTGAAGTAGGCTATCGGCTGTGTTATTGAAGATGACCTCGAGTTGGTTTATTTCCATTCACTGTTATATCTGTTAAGTAAATAAAATAAGCTCACAGACAATGCCTGACATACGTCCCGTACTTTTAAAATGGACAATCACACTGAAGGATACAATTCTACGCGTCTTTGCTGTCAGGGTACTCAAGCTGCGCAAGGATGCAAAGCCGTTTTTTTGTGGGGGGGTTTTTGGTTCTTTTTTGTTCGGGGGGAGAGGGCGGGAGAAACTGCTGGAAATATGCGCTGACACTGAGTGCGGCGCACAAAGTCTACCTATTTTGTGCAAGAAAGGCGCTTTCCTTATGAAACAAGTGTACACCTCGCTTCGATAAACCTGTCTTCAGCTCTTCAAGCCTCACCCGGTATCTAAAACACATTTTGCCGCTCACTTGGAACATATAAAGGCAACTGCCTCATATAATCCCCCACAATAGACCAGCCTTACGGATGCCTACAAATATTTTTAAAAGCGTTTATTTTTTCTTTTTCAGGTGGAAATAATACAGTAAATGTTGGCCACAGAGAGGCGATCGGATCTTGCACAAACAGTCGAAACAATCGCAGAGCCGTGAATAAATTTAAGTGACAGGGACTGGGGGAGGGGGGCACGCATTTATTTTCAAAATTTATCTGGTGATTTTTATTCCAGTGTGGAGCTGCCTTGCACTAAAAGCTTTCGACTAGACGAGAAGGAATTTGGGTTTCCCCAAATAAATCTGCTGCTGAATGAGAAAGTATTTGTTAACCGTGCCGCATTTTTCAATTTATCTTTTTGATCGTGTTATTTTTAATTTGTCATTTGGGTTGGGTCGTTTTTTCTTTTTAAAATGGCCTGCAACTTTAACGCTGCATTAGGCTTAAGGCTGTTTGCATAGAGAGGCAAATCTCCGAACAAGTTGAACACGTTTGCCTCCCAGTGCAGCTTTCAGTTTCCTGTCTCTTGTTTGCTATTTGTCCACAGTCTGCACTAAGACTTAAAACACCGAAATGCGTCGGGGCGGGGTGGGGGACAGAGGACGAGGACAGGTCATAAAAAGGCGAGCGCGTTGCATGAACGTTTCCTCGCCTTTTTTTTTCACCCCCTAAGGCACGTTAAGCTGCAATAAAAACACCTGATCGCTAGGTGGCGGTAAATTACCACTGGTCTTTTCCTAACACAATGCCAGTAGTACAGAGGTGCACGTGAACCAAGTAAACATTTTCTTAACCTGTACCAAAAATAACTGGGATGCAAAATGGATTTAAAGCAGAAGAAAAGGCATGACTTCTCAGGAGTTTACAGTATATTTATTCAGAATCAAATGTAAAAGATGAGGAGAGTAAAAAATAAGTCCACCCATAACTTACAGAAAGCTCATAGTAACATACATTTTAATCTTCCATATACAGCAATATTATTTCCATGTTAAAATTCCTGCATTCAAGTAATATAAGACATATTAAAGATCTGTCCTTACAGTGACACCCCC